GTCGTTCCTCTATTTTCGTTCCTGTTACTCTAAGGAACTTGAGATTGAATCTTGCCGATCGATTTTTCCTTTTTTATTCTAACTGCTTCATTTGGTCACATATTACGATAACGCACCCCTGCCTGCGGATATGCTATGTAGTTCATTTGGATCATGTGTACTACACTGTAATCTTTACAAAACCTTAGCCGGAATGCAGCATACTTTCTTTCCCTCGAAATTTCCGTACCGTCGCCGCTACTCATCAATATTTTCCACCAACTTCTGGGTGGTTCATCTTAAAGTGATTGTAATCACAAGGAAATAACTGAATGATCGTTTTTATTTCATTAACCCAGTTTTTAACTCTTATTTATTTCGTTGGTGGTTACGAATGGGCTGATTTCTTGAGGTGATGCACTACAGTTTCCAAAATAAACAGATTATATTCATGCGTGGAATATTGCGTCTGACTCACTGTTACTGTTGACTGTGAACCATAGTGCACTCTCATCATCATGATATACAAAAGGTAGGGTCTTGCACAAAATTGACGAATGATAAATGGGCTGATCACCCGAATGCTAAAAAATAACCCCGAAATATTTAAACAGGTGTTGGCCTAATTGCTACCTTGCCACACCGGCACACAACCAGTTGGAGCACAGAAGTGGGGGTGAAACCTTCCGAGGAACACCCTGCAGAGAAGCAGACCTATGGATGCCCGTATCACTTACTTGAACTTTTAGTAACACATTCCCTTGTCCTTTTCCCCAGTTACTTAATATTTCTAATCATTTCAAAGCGCCAATCATTTGTTTAAACAAAATTCTGTTTGGGATCCGTTGTAGAACAAAATGAACAAATATCTATTTTATGCGACCTCTTTGTGTTCCTTGATTTAACCATTCAATTGGACACACCATCACACCGTCGTGCAATATACCGGTTATTTACTTAGAACTGCTTTTCAGTGTTACCTTGTCTATTGGTGGCCGGGGGTCCATCGACTTTATGTGCATTCCAGGTGGCAGCAATTTACGTATTTTGTGTCATATTTCGACTGTCTTTTCTGCTTTCAGTTTGGATTGCACCGTAAATTTCATCACTCAGGAACCACTCACATTGTAGTTAGGTGACAGCGCTGACCTTGATGTCGAATTGGCGATAACCTTTTCGAGTGAGAGCACTTCACAGATGAATCGCCATTCATCCCAGTCATGCGCTTTGCCTCTAGCCTGCGTAATGTCCGAAGCTTGGGGACACTGTGGACAATGGTCAATTTTACATCTTTTGTCTACGGAAGTCACCTGGATTTTGCTTGTGCTTCTGACTATCGGTCCAAGGAAAATCTGGGTAGATTCAAACAGTGCTTCTGCATCATTCATTGACTGAAGTGTTACTCTGAGTAACCGCGGTTCGCTGTAGTGTACGGAGTTTGAGCGACTGACAAGGCGCATCCTATTGGCCTGCTTGGTTTGGACCCCTATTTGTTGATACAGGGAATCCCACTGTTTCCTGTCGTCTGGTGGCTTGTCTTTTGTGGAGTGTGCCTCGGATTCAGTCGCATTGGAGCACACAGCAATCAGTGCATTATGATACTGGTTCATATTCTCCTTTTTGGAGGGACGTGTGGCTGCTCTCCGTGGTTGGACAGCTGATGGTGTCTTAGGTCCCGCGGTAGTATTGGCGACACTAACTTCATCAAGTTTGGCAGCAGGCTGGGCTACAATGGACGGTGCCTCTGTCAAGTGGGTAGCAACAACGGAGGCATATGTTGTCGGTCCTCCAACAGTATTCGATGTGGCGCGTGGCTTTGATGACACATGTGCTGCGAACGCATCATTGGGGGAAACCCCTAATATCGGGGTTTCTAACTCCGGATCGTTGCTCTTATGTGCAGCCTGACTACACTGTTCTGAATTGGAGTTTGATCTTAAGCATAGAGTTCGGTGCACAGACTCAACTGGTACCGTTGGGATAGCTCTCACGGCCGCTACTTGCTCCAGTCTGTCGCGCTTCTGTGCCAACGCAGTTGCACATCTGGAGAGTGGAATAGCAGTACGTTTCGTGTAGAACCAGCCCGAACTCATTGTATTATTACGTTCCTCCATCTTGCTGAGACTAAGGCGGGCACCTGTATGATGGAATTTTTACAACAGTTGGAGCGTCCTATTCGAAATCGCACACGTTTAACACAGCTTTGTGCTCTACAATTAACGTTCCGTGCTGAATTTTTAGGCCTAACTTTCCTTGGGCAAGCAATGCGTATAAATTTGATCGTCCATTCTGTAGATGTGAAACGATAAAGGAGCATCATTGACAATGAATGAAGGTGCAATGCTAAACAGACCAAACTGCTTGAGTTTAGTTATGTTTTGCGAATGTGAAGTGAAATTGATGCAGCAGCCACCCTAACAGAACGCTGCGGCTGATGCCTTCAGCTTACCATAGTTTTCCAACCAACTGTATGTAAAGAATTATAAACTGCTTGCATCATAATATGTAGAGCCAAAAATTCGGCACATATAGTCTCAGACAGTCAGAAAACGCCCAAAAGGACACTGTACGGCCTTTTCTTCCTTTCAAGGATCATTAGCAGTGGGCATCCTATCTGACCACTGTAGGGTTCGAACTCGCAACTAGACTGTTGCAGTCAGTGGTTGAGGCCAATGAGCTTCGGGGGACAGTAACGAATAGGATGGCTGCCTGATCGAGTCTAAATGTGAAAGGGCTAGCTATACCATGAAAACTCTCCATACTACTCACTTGTGATCAGTATGAAGACGAGATTAACGGTATTAGGTTCCGGATTTTTCTGTCACTGTGGTCTCCATTGGAACAACCACAGGACGCATGCGCGTACAAAGGGACCATGGGTACGCTGCACCACCCACAGCTTCATCCAAAAACCCCGTTTCAAGTATATACCCAAAGGAATAAGTGGAAGGTACGTGGGTTGGAGCCACATTTCATCAACGGAGCTAACTCGCACTTCTTCAACATGCACAGCAGCAGCATCCCTGTTTATCTAATTTTGGAAGCATGCATACCAAACGTACTCAAAGCCGTGGCCGAGATGTAGCTCGCTCCTCAATACGTGGGACCGTTCTTTGAGCCTAGCACGTTCACGAGGACCGTGTACCTGTCTCCCCAAACAACGACAAACTGTCTCCTGGAGTAACTGCAATCGAACTCGCGGTTTTCGACAGGTAGGCTGTTTGTCAACTTTCACGTCAAGTGCAGTCACACCAGGGATACCAAACAGCCAACACAGATTTTGTAGCAATATAACCACACAAAATTGTAACGGAATATACAACAAAATAACAGAATTGAGCAAATCAAATAAATTGGAGTAAGTTTCATCTAAGCTAAGAAGATTTTATTTAAGTGCAAGTATAGGTCGGCGTTGCTCAGCTGCGGTGAAGAAGCTTGATGTATGCAACATCAGCCTCAGCATGAGGCACAGCAAGCCGACCAAACTGCTTACAATGTTATAAGTTAATTGGCGCCTTAATGTTGTTCGTCGCTTGATGAAAGGGTCACCCTGTCCTCTGCACGGTTGTAACGCACAAGTAAGTGCATAGTGAACGGTGCTATATCACTTTTTTTTTAGCTTAGTCACGATGGTCGTTATCGTCCACCGCAGTTAAGTAGTCTCAACCACAGATTGGCAATAGTCGAGTTGCGGGCTTGAGCCTCACAGGAGCCGGATGGGATACGTACTGCTGCCGATTCCCGAAATATTGAAACAGTCGTAACGTGCTTTTCCAGGGGTGTGCTGTCTGTCTGATGCGTCTAGGTGTAATAAATTTCTAGCTATGACATTCAACTCCCCTACTACTCGTTTGTAACCGTGGTAAGTGGTATACATGTTCAGCTCAACAAGATGGTGAGTGAGCAACCTAAGCCGCATTTGGTTCTATTTTTGGTCGAATTTCACGTAACATGAACCATGTATGCTATGAATGCGCAAAGCCTCTAAGCAAACGAGCTGGGATGTGTGTATATTAATTAAATTGGTGTGTATATGCATGCATACATAGAAGTGTTATTTGCTTGTAATCACTTCGTCGATGGTAAGCCACATTAGTTGAGTAGTTTGCGCACCACTACCTCCCTGGCCAAAAGTAGAAATCGTTGAGGGTAAAGTTGCATCGTTTAACGTAATAAACTCATTGCCACTTTTTGACTAAGTTTTAAACTACCAACCAGATGCGTTTGTACAATTTCATCCTATTGTGTACCAGTTGATGGATATTAAGAATGTGCTGTACAATAATAAAAGGTAAAGCGATTATTCCTTTTGTAAGGATCCTAAGGTAGTGACGTTATTGGGTCTTCCTTACGTGGCCAAAATCGGCCACAGGTGTATTCCATCCACATAGAGCATAAACCGCGGTGAAACCTCACTTGATTATCAGGAGCCCCTTCCTAAGATGCACATGTAAACGAAAAATAAAAGCTGTAACTTTGTATTAATCGTTATGTATCCGGTTTCTGTGATCTAATCAATGGATTTCCATCCCACAATCATCCCGTTCGCTGATTTGCATTGTGGCACAATTGGCTGTATGGATCTATCCCTTCGCATGAATCAGCGAGTTACATTAACGAGTTTGTAAACCTCAGTTTCTCTGTTATGAATCAAGCGGACTCTTTGGTAATCCAATTGTATTCATCTAGTAAAGCAAACGTTTGCTGCTGTTTCATCTTTTCCACTCAGTAAGCCATCTACCGTATATAAGTCTGATTACATTTATCCTAAGCGTTTCTTTGTGCGGCCATATCAAGTAAGCTACACATGAGGAAATAGCATGCTTCTAAGCGAGCACATACTGTGACCTATGGTTTGGCCTGCGTATTCCTCTGCTCACTTGTTAAAAGTTGAAACCAAAACAGAACACATGGTGATCAGTTAAATCCCCTCCTACATGACCACTAGTTAACAAGAAGCACGGGAATAGTTTAGGGAAAATGTTTGCAAAAAGGTCTTCAACCGAATGTTGACGACTCACCGAATGTGGAATGCGGCCGACAGTCATTCTGCCAGTCAGTTCGAATATAGTCTCAGATTTACCTCCCTCGCGATAGCAAAGTGTTCCATCCGGACAGATACTATGGCCCATCGAGGTGTCATGCAACTGCATGTTGGACGAATCATCCGACTCACTATATAGGTTCCACATCTGAGACTGAAAACCATCATCTTTAGTTCCTTGAAGGTCAACGCTAAGCTCTACTGTTTCCTCATCCCACTCCAGTGTCTTTAAAGTATCATGTATGCAATATGCGCCCCATCGAACAGTAAATCTGGAATTTTCGGGGGGTAACACACTGGCGAGCTGGAATAAAATAAGGATGGAAAAATTAACAGCAAATTATTTTAGTCCCTGAAGGTTTTACTATACAAATCGGTTGTTTAAAGGCTACTTTACACAAGAACTTCTACAGGCCAGGTCAAGATATTGAAAAGCTCTCTTTATCGCCAGGACTTGGAACAGACGCCGTCCATTCTGGCTTGTAACAAGCAACCTTAATTGTGGCCTTTGGTTGAGTTTGTAGTAAGCCTCTGGTATTCTGATCACTCTCCCTTAGTCTAAACTAAAGGCATGCAATATAGCCAACAGAATGGTAAGAAACCACTATAGTACGCTACTTTAAAAGGCAGTGATATTTTACAAGAATGCTGTGTTATTCACATATCCTTGCAATTGCGAAACGTTGAGAAAGTGCTATGTTGATGATTGCAAGCAATTAGAACAAATGGATTTACCTTGTCCGGTCCTACGTCTCTTCGTTTGGCTATAAGGTATTCCAACACAAAAATAACTGCTCCTCCCGGGCTTACGGGCACGGAGAGCTCTACGGGATTTCTTGCAATTAGAGCCATTTCAGCCGATTGTACTTCGCCCCTTGGACCGGCTCTGACACTACTTTCGTTCCTTGCCCATTGCATGGAAACGCGCTGCCAATGTTGAATATCCTCTGAAGATACGCCGGTATACAAATCCAAGTACACAACCGGAACAGGTTCAAGTACTTTGAAACGATTGTGGAAAAACACCTTGGAGCAGTAAATTATGAAGCAACATATCAGAAACAACTAAACTAACCGGACTTATCGTGCAAATTATGTAATATTAATGTTGTAGAGAAGAAAAAATAGGTTAATACACAAGGTAGTGGAATCCACATTGGAAAGGTCTCATTTATCAGCAGGTCATTCAGGGTAACCTTGGCAGGCCCACAAACTGATCGACAAATGCTGAACTGTTAACCTTCACCACCGGCACGCTTATCAATAAAGGCCTGCAGAGCACAAGCTGTGGGTGACCTACCAGGAACACATCATCATCATCATCATCATCATCATCATCATCGGTACATAGACCCCACCTGTTCCTGCTTTTCATAAATGATCTCGCGAGTGTGCTATCTTCTAACTGTTTGCTATTTGCTGATGATCTAAAGGTATGGCGTACTATAGCTACAGTGGAGACTCACACAGTGTTATCGGAGGGCCTGGACAAAGCGTACATATGGTACATCGAGAACATGCTGCATTTCCATGTCGCCAAGTGCAAAGTTCTCAGCATACGGCACAAGATTATGCACAAGTATTGCCTAGGACCACAAATTCTACGGCGAGCTTCTCACGAGTGCGATCTCGGCGTGATAGTTCAAGATGACCTGGGTTGTTTGAGGCAGACTGAAAAGGCAGCTAAGAAAGCAAACCATTACCTCGGTCTTCTTCGCAGAGCTCTCGGGTAGTTTGACCCTTCAGTCTTTCCAAAAATGATTAGTGCCTACGTGAGGCCGCACGCGGAATACTCTATCCAAGCGTGGCAACCCTGGCTCAAGCACCATCTCACCGCGCTCGATACTGCACAGTGTAGAGCAACGAAGAGCGTCGGAGGTTTGACAAGCCTCCCCTACCCACTCAGGCTGACGACTCTCAAAATATACAGTGGACGTTATCGGCGTCTAAGGGGTGATCTCACAATGGTGTACCTGCTCCTGAGAAATCCCAACCACCCATGCCATTCCCTTCTAATACTCAGTCAAAACACCCTGCTAAGTGGTCACCAGTTTAAGTTGGTCACGCAGTACAGTCGCCTGGAATGTCGGCGAAACTATTTCTCCCTTCGAGTGTCACAGCCTTGGAATGCCCTCCCGGAACATGTAATTATTGCACCCACCCTATTCCTTTTCAAAAAACGCCTTGACGATACTCTGTCACATTTACACAGCGTGCTATAACCCATGACCACCAGATGCCGGCACTAATGCACAACAGACAGTGCATAGTGTTATAACCCTACTCGAGAATGAGTCACTCCAAACCCCTTGCACAAGATTTGATAAACGCTACTACTATACAAACTGGATTTCTGTATCCCGTCGACCCAAGTTAGTTGCACACGAGTAAGCGTTGTCCCTGCTATCATTTTTTATTTTTCTCGCCTAATATGTGATCAATAACCACTCCCCTTTTTGCTTTGTGTGCGTACATTCTCATTTCAAACTCCCTTTATACGGCAGTGCAGTTAAATCTGTAACCGCCCAAACTGACGACTCCATTATCCCTTGACCTAACTTTTTCACTCTAAACACCCTACGGGACATGTCAAGCACCTGCTTTTTACCCGTTAGCAATCATTTTTCATTGTTCATCCAAATACAAGGCTCTCTTACCAGACTGGCAGGTGCCTCTGCCTGCACTCACTCTTGGTGGTGAGACACTAGAGGTTGTGGAGAGCTTTGTCTACTTGGGAAGTTGCAGCACTGCTGGCGGGGCTGTTGGAGACGAGATCTCGATGCGCATCTCGAGAGCACACCTCGCTTTTTCTAAGCTGATGCACTTGTGGAGTCGCCACGACATTCGTCTCTCCATCAAAGGGCGGGTCTATTGTGCAACTGTTCGTGCTGTACTGTTGTACGGATGCGAGACCTGACCCAATCGTCAAGATGACTTGCGCAGGCTATCGGTCTTTGAGCACCGCTGTCTGCGGTCCATTTCCCGTGTGTGGTGGCAGCACCACGTAAAAAATGTGGAAGTTAGACAGCGTGTCTTGGGATGTGGAAGCCACTCGCTCGAGGAGCTCGTCTCACTGTATCAACTGCGGTGGTTGGGACACGTATTGCGCATGCCTGTTCAGCGTTACCGGCGTCGTGCGTTGTTTGCGATTGCTGGACAGGGCTGGAAGAGGCGGTCTGGTGGACAGCCTACAACATGGAGAAGCCGCATGGAAAAGCTGAGGAAACAGTTGGCCTCGGCTGGTTGTTGTCGACTACCTGGTTGACGTCGGGAAGATATGGATACCTGCTGGTTAAAAACCTTGGGAGAAACGGATCAAGATCGATGGCAGTTGCGGATGTGTGCATCGGTGTGTTGCGGTGTCCATCATTCCTCCCCCGAGAAAAGAACAAACTGAAAAAATTTCAAAAACTGTGAGTGGTAAACTAGACAAAAAAGCTTTTGTGGTTGTTGCTCTTTTCTTATTATTCATAATGTTTTCCTATTAAGCCATGATTTCGAGGGCACAATATCTGTACCACAGATTGTGTATGCTATATATATTGGGTTGGCGGCATCCGGTTTCGGATTTGCCTGTCACTGTGGCTAGCCAAAGGATGCCTGCGCCTACAGACGAACCGTGGGTGGCTTGCGCTGCACCACCCACAGCTCCATCCACAAACACCCCATGCCCAGTGTAAACCCGACGGAATAAGACCGGGAGGCATGTGGATGGGAGCCAGGTTTCATCAACGGAGCTGGCCCACACTCCATCACAGGCAAACACAAACACGCTGTATTTGGGGAACCAAGCGCACACAAGGCGGTGGCTGGACCGGAGTCCGCTCCACATTGAGTGCATGGAACCACTCTTCGAGCCTTGCACGGCCACAAGGACGGTGCACCCCGTCCCCTCCAGCAACCATCAATTGTCTCCTAGAGTCAGTATGGACGAGGTAGTAGGTAATAGACAGGTAGGCACCTTGTCAACATGCACATCAAGCGCAGCCACACCGGGGATATCAAGCAACAGCCAATCACTTGTGTGAAAGATAACGAACAAAATAAATCGAGTAATGTATAAGGAAACGGTGACATTAACCTTAAATTAATGAGCATATGAAATAATTTGTCTATAATAGAATCCGAGATAAGTTAACGAGGTCAGAAAGTATATTTTACGGAAAAGCCACAAACACGAAAATATTATCGAACTACACTTGACTTAAGCTACGTGTGCAAGTTTATAGAAGAGAATACAGGTAGACATTCGTCTGGGAAAGAAAAGCATTAGACCAAAATTGAAAACCAACCACCTGAAATAAATAGACTTAGCAAGCAAACACGCGGTTAGTAAATCGAATGCAGCGTACCTACAAACGCTGCGCCGGTTCTGTCTACGTTCTCTGCAGGACGCGTCGTCGCTTCGGTAGTGGTCCCGAGTGGCCTCGCTCATGGCTCACTAGGCCTGCCTGACTCGGGCACTCGCGATCGCATGTGCTACATCACCATGCGCTCGATGTCGATGGAGTACAATCCATCGGCGCTTGCCGCTTCCGCACACGCCGCTTCTTCTCTGCATGTATGAGGTCTTTCTCCCGCACTTCGGCAACTGCCTTCTTGATTGAATCGCGCCGTGCATCCCGATCAACCGCCTTCGATTCCTATGACCTGCAATCAAGATTAGAACGTGAGAGGCTCAGTTTGATCATGTCCTGGAAACGTAACTTTGGTTTCCTCACATGCTGCTTCCCAATACTCAGCTGACCAAATAAGAGTTGTTTCGGTATCCGCGTTGAATCCATACGGCTCACATGACCGAGCCACCTCAGGTGTCTCAATAAAAGTAAACAGTCCACTGCATACATCCCACTGTGTCGCAACACTTCTGTGTCAACAACTCTGTCTCCCCGCAATATATATATATATATATTCTAACTTCCGCGTTGTTTACATGGTGCTGCCCCCATACGCGAGCAATAGAATGCAAGCAGCCGTTGTCGAAAGTAGACAGTCGTCTCAAACCTTTCAATCGAACTGGCCATACAGGAGGACAGCATGAACTGTGGCATCGTACACTCGACATTTGGGCTTGAGACTGACATCGCGACGACGCCAAAAGTGTCGCAGGTCAGTAAATGCAAGGCGAGCTTTGGCAGTTCGCTGTAAAATTTCATCGCCAATACCGCCACCAGTCGTGATGCAACTCCCGCGGTAAGTAAAACTGTTAACTAGCTCTAGGCTGACACCCGAAATGGTGAGCGTAGGCAGGTACCTGCCAATCATGGAGGAAAGCTTTACACCCAGATGGAGCAAAATACAGACTATACTTAGATACGTCTATCGCTAAGCGGTTCAGTATGTTTTGAACAACGTGCAAGTCATCCCCCAGCAAAGCCATGTCATCAGCATAGCCCAGGTCCATGACTCTGTTCCCGGTAGAATATCAACGCCGCAGCTCTGGGCACCTTCCAGTGCGCGATGTAGGACATCTTCGATGGCACAGTTGAATAGGAACGGCGAGATAGGACTACCTTGGCGTTCTCCACTGGTAACAGGAAACGAATAAGAAAACCTACCATAAGCTCTAACTTCGCCAGTGGTGTGACTATACAGCTCTTTCAAGAGTATGACAAACTTGTCGGAAACGACGTTCCGTGTTGCGGGCACGTCAAATATTCCCGCAAAAACGCGCCAGAAACCCCAGCAGAATGGCTGTGGAAAGCGAGGGCCAATTCCTCCCCACAACGCAGCAGAGCTCAGCCACTCCGAGACGCGGCCCAAACTGCGCACCTTCTGACAATGGTCATTTACAAACTACCACCTCTTCGTAGTGACAGTTTTCCTTAACTTAATAACCCATAGCACTCTCTGTGATTGCCCTTTGTCGGTCGTAAAAGAGCCTACAGAGGACCACTTGTCTTTTCTTTCTCTTCGCCTCAGTTGGGAGTCGGTCGGGTCGCGTGTGTGCGTGTGAATCGTTAGCTGGCCAGTCTTCGCGTCTAAGTCATTAGCGCGCGTCTATCGTACCCCCCTCTCGTGTGCAT